TGCCAGCCCTTTTATTTTGGGACAGGATCTCGCTTAGTTGCTTAGGGCCTTGCTGCATTGCTGAGGCTGGTCTCAAACTTGAAAACTCCTGCCTCAGCCTCCTGAGAAGCTGTGTTTACTGGCAACATCCAGATTGGACATCTGCATTTTTAATGTGTATATAGTTTTAGTGATTTAAGTCAATCTTATATTTGACTATGTTTCCTATGTTTCTTATGACATCCTATATTTTTTATGACAATAAATAATTTAACAATTCTCGAAGTGTTGTGTAGGGACTCTTGGGTGTCCTTGGGGCTTTTTTTTCTTTTTGATGGGGGGCATTGAACTCATGGGTGCTTAACTACTGAGCCACATCCTAAACCACTTTTTAAAATTTTTTAAAATTCTGAGACAAGGTCTTGCTAAGTTGCGTAGGGCCTTGCTAAATTTGAGGCTGGCCTCAAACTTATGATCCTCCTGTGTGTGCCACCATGCCTGGCTGGCTGTTCCTGGATCTTTGTCAAAACTGTATTTGTAGTAGTATTAGATCATTTGTCTTTTTCACTTTCATTCTCACTACATGATATGATTTTCCAGAGGCTTTGTGATGAGTGATACTCTTGAGAGAATGCAGAAGAAATGAGAATCTAGCTATCTTCTACTAAGACAGACATTAAAGAAATTTGTAAAAATGTAAAACATAGCCATTCTCAATATTTTTATTTTTTTTGGAAAATATTCTTTATATAAATGCTAATTATATTATTATGTAATTAATTCATTATTTTAAAAGGAAACAGACTCTTTAAAAGTTGTTTTGATTTCTAAAATGGTAAATATTGATAGCTGTAATTCACACACACACAAAAACAACTCTTTGAAGTTCTCCGTATGTTTTAAAAGAGTAAAAGGATTCTAATGCTAAAACATTTGATAACTGCAGTTATAAATAACAGGAACACTTAAAAAAGTTTTTTTTTTTTTTTTAGTTGTAGTTGGACACAACTACAACTTTATTTTATGTATTTTCATGTGGTCCTGAGGATTGAACCCAGTGCCTCACACATGCTAGGTGAGCCCTCTACTGATGAGCCACAACCCACCCCAACATTTTTTTCTAACTAATAATTCTCAATTTATTAAAAAGGGTTCTACATCTTTGCAACCAGTGCCAGATTAATACTCATATTTTAAAGATAAGATTAGTACACTTAAGCCATTTATCAAGGTAAGGTAATCCCAATTTTATTCACTTTCCATTGCGACAGAAAAAAATCAGAGGAAACGTTCCATTTTATATGTATATGATTTTTGTTTGTTTTCCAATTTGGAGTAGGAATTTTTAACAAGTTCCAGATGATACTGATGCACCTAAATTTAAAGAACCATCATCCAGAAGCAAAGGAAAATATCTGAAGGACTTTAAAGGAGCAATTATTATATCTGGACATTAAGATAATCCTGAAGGCACTAAGTGTAGGTGGAAGACTTGGATTCTTTTTTTTTTTTTTTAATTTTTTCTTATTGTTGTAGATGGACAGCATGCCTTTATTTTATTTATTTACTTTTTTATGTGGTGCTGAGGATTGAACCCAGTGCCTCACACATGCTAGGCAAGTGTTCTGCCACTGAACTCCAGCTCCAGCCCAAGATCTGGATTCTTAAAAGCCGAGTCCCTGCCTGGTGCCCAATTTTCCACATCTTTACAATAAAATGTTTTTAATGCATTTCTGGTTCTGCCAATCAATCAGGGTTTCATGTATTCCCACTGCTCAAGGGCAAATGAAGAGCTGCATCTTTCTGATGAGGGCAAGAACAATCTTAAAGACATAAATCCGAGCATGTCACTCTTCTGCTTAGAAACCTTCAATCATTTTTCCATTGAATTCCACATAGAAGTGAAACTCCTTACCCTGGCTCATAGGCCTCACAAGAATTGGTTCCTAAATTCTTGACCTCATCTCCCTCCCTCCTCATCTTGCCCGTTTTGCTCCAGGTTGTGGCCTTTTTTCTCTTCCTTGACTTGGCTAGGTTTGTCCCAACTATATGGCCCCTGTACCTACTCTTCCCTCTGCTTGGAATGCTCTACCCTAGACCTTCATTTGGCTTATTGCTCCCTTCGTTCCACTCCATCGCCCTGTCTAAATTTCTTTAAAGCACTTACTACCATCTTAGATGCCCCTGTTTGTTGACTTGCGTGTGCTCTGTTTCTCCCACCAAAATGTCAGCGATTTGACAGCGGGGCTTTTGCTATTTACTAGTGTGTCCCGGGCGCCAGGACACTGCAGGCAGGTATTCGGCGCTCAGTAAATATTTTCGGTGGCCGAACTCATGCACCCAGGCCAGGCCTTCAAAAGAAGGGCGGGCGTCCCAGATTCCTTCACATCTGACCCCGAAGCACCTGCAACCACTCACTCCTCGGCGACCCCAGCACCTCCCTCGAAGCCACCCGGTCGGACCCCTCACTCACCGAACCCGAACGAAGCGCCTTCCGCCTGAGCGGATGCTTGATCCGGAAGTGTTCTTAAGCAGGCGAGCCCGCCTCCGAGCTGAGGGAGTACTTCCGGGCAGTAGGAGCGGCGAGTCAGCGGCGGTGGCTCCGGTGAGGGTGGCGGCGGGCTGGGCGTGGGGCTTTCCGGGTTGAGGCAGGCAGCGTCGGGTCCCGGGCTTGGTCTCCCCTGGAGGTCGCTGGGGCTGGTGAGGAGGCGGCCCGAGGGCGGGCGGCGGACGCCTCACGGCGGGGTGCGGGGGCCGCGGAATGGCTTTGGTTAGCGAAGCGCAGCGTTAGTGCGAGCGACTCTCGTCAGCGTCGGAGAACTTGGGAGCGTGTGTTTACAGCACGTCTCCGGTTTGGGACGTGCAGTTGGATGTGGGAAGAAGGGAGAAAGCTTGTCTGCCCATCCAGAGCAGAAACATTAATAACCATAGTAAGGTTGCAAACTACCGCCTCCGCCGCCAATAGTGACCGCAGCTGTTAACCTGGGAGCTCTTCGGTGACATCGCTGTTCCAGGCCCCTCCCCTGCGTGGTGGAGACTTTAGAGGAGCCGCAGCCGCGTTTGACCGGCGAGGAAACGGAGATGCAGAGAAGCCAAGTTACTTCTGGGCAGGGTTAGAAGAAAGTTGAACTCCGGAGCCAGGCTCTTAGCTGTTAGCTTTGACGCTCTCCATGTGGGTAGTGGAGGCGGGGGCAGCGTATACATGCGTGTGTGCAGTTCTTAAACATGTGGATCAACTCTCTAGTTGGGAATCATTCTCTTACAATTTTGAAAATAACACTCTTGTCATAGAATACCTGGAAAAACTAGAAAAACATTAAATAGTGTAATTCCATGGACCTACTATTCTTGTGTGTGTGTGCGCGCGCGCGTGTGCGCGCTGCTGCTAGATTATGAATCCATTGAGAACCAGGATGGCACAGCCATGTAATAATGACAGTAATAATATAAACAAACATCACAAAACCATTCTTTTTTGGCCTCGCCTAAATGTCTGGCATAGTCTACATGTTCATTAAAGCTTTGTTGCACAAATGAAAAAATAGGAATCACCAGTGTATAATATTTTGCCTTAGTGTTTTATTACATGAATCATGTTTATGCAATATGTATATTACATACTACATATAGCATATTATATAATAGTTGGGTTGTAATCTGGAGACAGTATAAGGAAAAGATACTAATAATATATATTTATTCAACTACAAAAACATCGAAGTTTGTACAAGAGCTGTGTTGTCTTTCTTATTAGGCCCTTGAAACAAGTGAGGCAGAAATTGCCTTACATTACTTCTTTATCTTCAGAGCTTGTTAAATAGTGGAAATGCAAAAGGTATTGCAGGTGACTGAGTGAATGAGTACTTCTAAATTGTATTTAAATTGGTAGTTGTATCTGAGTTGTTTTTCTCTATTTGGGGAATATAGGTATGTATATCATACCTGCAGACCCTAGGCTCCATGACATTAATCTACCTTTCTAGACTTGTGCCTCCCTATTGTTCTTAATATATTAACTACTCCAGGTAACTGACTGGATCCCCTGTGCATTTGAGCTTTCTCATATATTGTTTCTATAGCCTTGAATTAAATCTCTTTGGTGTATTCATATGTCAAAATCCTAAGTTCCTTTTATGTCAGGTATTGCAAACTTGAATGTCTGCAGGGGCTCACCATGTTAACATAAATGAATGAAGTGGATTTAAGGGGAGATCGTGGAGCATAGGAAGGCACTGCACTGTTTCAGAGGGCCTAACAGCTCTTTGGCATGAGGCAGTTATTATGCTGTCAAATGTGGGCCTACTGTTGCCAGAACTTTGAATTTTACAGGAGAAATTGGAAACTTGTTAACAATTCATTTTTTTTTTTTAAGTTTAAACACTCTACAGACTAAGTTAAAACATCTGTAGTCTTGATTTGGCACTCAGTTTCCCAGTTTGTAACCATTGCTCTAGGCTTATCTCAGATCATTTGTTTATGGATCATACTCCCTGATTCATACAGACAACTTTCTGTTCTTTTAGAACTTTTTTATGCACTTCAGTTATAGTGCTGTTTTCCATCTGTATATACACCTAAAGAGTGTGTGTGTGTGTGTGTGTGTGAGAGAGAGAGACAGAGCGCGCGCGTGTGTGCGCTTGATTTATTCCCTGGTGATGTTTGGTTAACCTGGGAAATTAATATCTGCTCTTTGTAGAAGTAGCAATATTATCTTGGCTTTAATTGCCAAAGAGCTCTACTTCTGGAAGGAATTGAATTGGGTAACATTGCTATTCAAAAACTGATCTGACAAAAATGTTATCTGATGGCTTAAATAATCTCTGGAAAAAAATTGAATTGGGAATGATTAATGGGAGTTTTGAAGGACATTCAGTAAATGGAAAAATTGACAACTGGGACCTCATCAAAACGAAAAATTGCTCTGTGAAAAATTCTATAAAGAATGAAAAGAAAATCTACAGACTGGGATGAATATATCCACAAACCACATATTAGACAGAGGACTTGAATCTGGAATACATAAAGAACTTTCAACTGTAAATCTAATTAGAAAACCAAATCTAATTAGAAAATGAGCAAAAGATAGAAATAGATATTTTACTGAAGAAGCTATTCAGGTAAGCACATGGAAAGATATTTAATATCCTTAACTGTTGGATAAATGCACTTTAAAAGCCACAGAGGAATGCCACCACATACCTGTTAGAATGGCTCAGATGAAAAATAGTGACACAACTGGTGAGCATATAGAGAACTTGATTACTTGTACATTGCTGGTGGGAAAGTAAAAAGCTATACTACTATGGAAAAGAGTATGACTTTCACATAAAACTAAAGATGAGCTTATTATATAACTAGTAATTATGCTCTTGGTCATTTATCAGAGACAAAAGAAAGCTTATGTTCCTTTATAAACCTGTATGTGAACTTCCATAGTCATTTTGTTTATATAATAGCCCCAAAATGGAAATGGCGTATATAACAGTTGGTAAATAGTTCAATTGTGATACTTTCATACCATGGAATACTGCTCAGAAATAAAAAGGAACTATTGGTACAACCTAAGTGGATCTGGAGGGCCTCATTGTAGAGTCAAAAAATTCTCAAAAGAATATGTTATGATTCCATTTATATAACATCTTGAAATGACAAAATTTCAGATAACAAATCAGTGATTGGTTACTATGGGTTGGGCAAAATATGGGAAGTTGCCATGGCTAAAATATAGCAGAAGGGATTCTTATAATTGAACTTTTTTAAAAAAAATCTTGACTGTGGGTAGTAGTCACAAGCATCTATGCAGGTGGCTCTTTATATCCATGGGTTCCACATCCATAGACTGAAAATATTTGGAAAAATGATTATATCTCTCTTGAACCTGTACAGACTTTTTTCTTGTCAGTATTCCCTAAACAATATAGTGTAACAACTACTAACAGCATTTACAGTGTGTTAGCTATTATAAGTAATCTATAGATGATTCTATGAAAGGATGTGTGTAGATATATGCTAATATTATACAATTTTATGTAAGGAACTTGACCATTATTTTGCTATCATCTGGGAGTCCTAGAACCAATTCTCCAAGGATACTAAGGGATGACTGTATACGTGATAACATTTTATAGAACTATATACGGACATATTAGGGCCTGTAACACTGGTGAAATCTGAACATGATGGGTGGATTGTGTCAGTGTCAGTTTCATGGTTGTGATATTATTCTGTACTTACACAAGTTGTTACCAGGGAAAGTAAATGAATGTATATGGAAAATCTATTATTTCTTATACTGCATGTGAATTTATGAAAATCTCAAAAGATCTAAATAAGTAATTTATATTAAAAAAATCCTGTGTAAGTAATTTTGTTCTTGGGCTTATGTTTTACTAGGTGATGTTCTAATCATGTCGGATAAAGATGATATTGAGAGTCAAGTGATAACTGAAGCAACCCTGGTTCTTGAAGAAGGAAACCATGAGCCAGCCAAGAATACTGAGTCTGTTGACCAAAGTGCTAAGCCAGATAGTAAATCTGAACCTGTAGTGTCCACTCGGAAAAGGCCAGAGGTCAAATCTTCTAGTGATCTTGAAACTTCAGAAGTTCTCCCTGTTCAGGTATTACAGGCTGCAGCCAAAATAGAATATCTGTTAAAATATTGGTATTTAAAAGTGTTTGAGTTAAAAGTGACTTGGATTCAATGCTAATGTAAGGTTGCACTTAGCTTTGTTTTGTAGAACCATAAGATACATTTTCTCAGTTGTATAAATGCCTTTAGAAGAACTTGTCTTTGCTACTTGGTGCTTACATGGTGATAATATACATCTGTTAGTCAAGCAAGTGTATCTCTTATACTTTTGCTAAATTATTAGATATCTTGTCTAACTTTCTGATTCTAATTTTTCTATTTTATTTTTTCTTTTGTTTTTCTTCTTAACTGGGAAAAATAGGAGCCTGTTTCCAAAGATGTACCCCAGACTGGATGGGGTTATTGGGGAAGTTGGGGAAAGTCCTTACTTTCTTCAGCCTCAGCTACAGTAGCCACAGTAGGTAAGTCATCAGTAGTTTCATTATTTTTTATATTCATTTTGCTACAGACTTATGTTATACATGATTTTGATAATAATCCTTCCTTTCGTGATTACTCAGAGGCTTTATAGTTGTGGGTGGTTAAATAATGGGCTGATACATATTGCCACTAGAATTTGAAGCATTTTTTCATTAGAAAGTTCAAATCTGGGAATTGTTATAAAATATGAGTTAAATTTTTTATATTAGCTATGTATTGTTAAAATAATATATTCTATGGCCATAATAATTTTAAAAACATGCAGATATTATTTTTGCTTTGTTTCTTTAGTTTTGGTAGCAAATAGCAAAAAATGTTATTTGTCTTAATAGGACAAGGTATTTCAAATGTCATCGAGAAGGCAGAGACTTCTCTCGGGATCCCTAGTCCCAGTGAAATTTCAGCTGAAGTCAAGTTTGCAGCAGGTTAGTATAAAGAAACATTAAGGCCTAGGGTTTTGGATTAAAATGGAACAGTTAAGCTCATTTTTCAGTAGGTATATATTAAACATCTAATGCAGGGTATCATGGGACTGTGACAAGAAAGAGGATTAGGAATCTTTAGCTGTCAGAGGTCTGTGTCCTCTGACCAATCATGTGTCTTTTCACTTTCCACATCTACAAAATAATCTTGAAAGACTGTTATAAACATTAATAAAGCTATGAATATAGAATATGAGAATGTTTAACATTTTTCTTGGTATATTTAAGTGACCCACATGTTAGCTGAATTTAAATCTATTATGGCAAGAGAAAAATATTTTAATGAATAGTTTGTGGGTTGTATTTTTTTTCCCCTTTGCATTTTAATGAGGGTGAAGTTTTATTCTGAACACTTGCCTTGATCAAAGGGAAACATACTCTCACTGAAACCAGGAATCAGGAGAGCCTGGGACCAAATAATAGAAAGTTTTTCAATACCTGGTTTGCTTTCTGTGTCAGGGACTTTATTTTCTCTCATTATTCTCTTTGCTCATCTATGCCATTTTTTTTTTTTTAAGCAAACTGATTCTCTGTGCTTGTCTTCTAGTTCCAACTTTATATTGAATCCTAGTATTTATCCCCATCTGAGACCAACTGGCATCAGTTATTTCTGAGTTCCTAGGAGAGACAATTAGATTGGCCTAGACTTGAGTCACTTGTCCATGGGCGGGAGATGAGATCACATTATACAAACATGTCTGCAAAGGACTTTGTGAGTTTGAGGCATTGTTCTTAGTGATGTTCTTAGATTACTCTGCTGAAAATAACAGAATAAGTGACTAAGAATGAGTTTATTTTTCTCACTGAAGAACTTCAGAAATAGTCTGTTGCAGAGATAGTTCATTGATGTTGGGGTTCTGGGTTGGCTTCTCTCCTGTTTTCTTTTGTTGGTTTCTTAATGGCTGCCAGATAATACTGCAACTCCAAGTATGATTTTCTAAAACAAGAATGCTCTCAAAGTCAGGAATTAAGTGGAAAGAAAGTACCATTTTCCCTCTTGCATCTCTTTAAAATGAGTAGTTTTCCCCAGCAATTCTCAGTGCACTTCTTCTCAGATATCGTTAACTAGAACAGGTCATGCTGAAGCAGAGAGAAGGTTTTGGGCATTGTTATAAACTTCTATCTCAGGAGTTGGGTTCTTTTGCTCTCCTTTTGTTGACAGGTAGTTATGGTATAGCTTAGATTGATACTTTCAAGGCATTATTAAGCTTGTTTAGGGTGAGTCTAGAGTAGCCTTTACTCTGAGGGCTTGTTTGTTTGTTTATTATTTATTATTTATTTATTTATTGCTAAGGCCTGACTTCTGAGGTTTTTACTCAATTCCCAGTTGTTTAAAGAGCTCTTTTTACTTTGGTTGGTTGAAATTCAAATGTTTCAGCTTAGCATGAGCTCTGGGGATAGTTTAGCTTACCACTCCATAGCAGTCCTCCACCCCCAACTTTGTGGAGTCTCCTAGTGCCTGAGCAGTGTGGTATTCAGCCAGAGACACAGGGCACACCTGTGTAGTTTCTTGGACCTCTTAACATATGCAGCTGCATCCTCTCTAGTTGGCTTCAGTCTTTGTTCCACTCATTGTGATGCTGTGTTATGCTGAATTTCCCCTCCTTGTGTTGTGGTTTGTTTGGAAAGTTCTTCTTGACAGAAAGTCAACCCATTTGTAGGGTTCATGTTATTCCTTTTTATCCTGTACCACATCGTGTACTGCCTCTTTCCAGTATCTGCAAAAGGTTGTTTCTTATATTTTGTCCAGTTTTGCAGTTGCTGTGGTAGGAGGGCAAGTCCCGTACCAGTTAATTCATTGTAGCTGGAAGTAGAAGTACTCCCTATAATAGAGTATTTGATATAGTTAGATTATTTGATGTAGTTGATCTCCTATAAGTTTTTTAAAATGAATAAAATAGAACAGTTTATTTGAAATATACTCTTTATAATGCACATCTGATTCCTACTAATGGGCATGATTTTCTAGGATAAAATTGAGTTATAAATTATATATAGTAAAATTTGATTTTTAGCTATGTAGGTTTTTGTGCTTCAAGAAATATATGGATGGCTATGTTGGAATACTATGTAACCATAGTACGTGTAGTTATACATATATAGAGTATTTCCTATATAAACTATTGGGATATAAAAGAATTTTCACTAAGAAAGTTCCTTTATGCCCTTTGTAGTTACTCTCTCCCATCTACTACCAGCCTTTGGCAAGCACAGGTCTATTTTCTGAACCTCTAGTTTTACCTTGTTCAAAAGATCATTATCACTGAGATTATTCAGTGTATAGTCTGATGTTGTATAGATCAGTAGTTTGTTCTGAAGATTGGATTTTATATTTGAAATGAAATGAAAATGGAAAAAAAAAACCTGCCTATTTGAATTTTCAGTTAAAATGGGCAAATTGTTTAAAATAATGAAAAGACCTAAGGACTTGAGTGTAGGAACTGAGTCTACACTTTAAAAAGTCACATAGATGCTAGTAAAGAAAACAATTAATGAATCTTCCTTCCTTTTGTAGGAGAGACAAATGCCAAAGAGAATGAAAGCTCCTCCCCAGTCATGGGGCCATTTGGTGTATTCTCGACCATTTCTACAGCTGTTCAGAGCACAGTGAGTAAAAAGTGCAAAGTGGCCTGCTCCCTTCTGTTTTTATAATGGATTTGTATATCTTTCTCCTTCTTTTCCTTGAAAAACCTTGAGAACTGATTACTCTTAAGGGAGTCCAAATCACTGAAGATCAGTCACCTCTCAGGTCAAGTAAAAGCTTTTTTGAAAGAAATAAGGAATATAAGATGGAGAGTTAGAGAGGCTATGTACATGATATTTCTTTTTTATGTTTTCTTAGTACATAATATTTTATGGACCAGGAATTCTTAGTTTGGTGACCTAGGAAATGTCTCTGCTTTTACAAATACATTTTTCTCTTAATTGTATCTTAAGTGGGCAGGAGGGCTAGGGCGGTGTGTGATCTTTATGGTAGATACTTGTAAAACTACAGATGATAAAAAGCATTTTAAATAGAATAATGTAAGACACTAATTTTCCTACACAAGTGAAGGTAGATAGCTAATACTTTTTTAAAAATTTTTGTTGAAGTATCATAAGTGTTCAGTGTAAATGTTCATGTTATTAATATACCTAGTCCTCCCACTTGTGTCCTCTTCTCTGCCAAGATAACCATAGTCTTGATTTATAATATCATAAGTTAATATTGCCTGTTTTTATACTTTATATAAATGGAATTATAGAGTATATACTTGTTTGTATTTGGCTTCTTTCATACAACATTATGTTATCCATGTTACAGTTTGTATGGATTTTCTTTGCTTTATCCCTTTGTGTGACTGTCACTTTTTTTCTTTAATTCCACAATGGTAAGCATTGGGTTAATTTCCAATTTATAGCTATTACAAATAATTCCGCTATCATCATTCTTGTTCATATTTTCTGATGTGCCTCTGTACATATTTCTCTTGAGTATATAATCATGAGAGGAATTGGTGGTTCATACAGCTGTAATAAATACTGACTAAAAGTTTTTCAAAATGGTAACACCTATTTACATTTCCACAAGCAGTGTATAATTGCTTCACTTTTTCTACATTTTTCTCAATGCTTGGTTTGTTGGCCACTATTTTTAAATAATCAAAATATGCAAATATATTTTCTTAACATTGCTGTAATGAAGTTTATGTGTTTTCTAGGGAAAGAGTGTTATCAGTGGGGGTTTGGATGCCTTAGAATTCATTGGAAAAAAGACAATGGATGTAATAGCAGAAGGGGATCCTGGATTTAAAAGAACCAAGGGTCTGATGAATCGGAATTCTACACTGTCTCAGGTACTTTCTTCTTTACCTGTTTGATTCTTGTTTCTGTTTTGATTTGCATTTTTGCCTTTGCTAACTTGGGACCTTCTTAGGGTTTCCTTTTGAAGAATCTTTAGTGATTTTTAAAATTTAAGCTACTGAGGTAGGGAGGAGGTAGGGAGAGCTTGAATGCTTAAAAAAATGCCTAGCTCTTTTTTTTTTTTTTTCTCCTTTTTTCATTCTGTAGGAGTTTCCTGTCAGTGAAATGCTAAACCCTGTCAAAGTTGTTTATTAGATTAATGTTTAAATCACTTTTGGAGAAACACCTGGTTCCTTGGGTGTTATTTACACTAGCATCAAATTATATGTTATCATTTTTTTCCCTGCATGTCCTGAGCCTATTGGATTTGAATTGCAGTGCCAAAAATGAAAGGGCAGTGCTCTGAACTCAGCTTTACTTCCCTCCACTCTCAGAACTCACCCTTGAGCTCTCATTATTTGCTTCAGTGTAACACCTCCATCTCTTTTTAGGTCTTAAGAGAGGCAAAGGAGAAAGAAGAGCTGTGGACCTCCAATGAGGTTACCATGGAAACTGACAAGAAAACTCATTATGGGCTACTCTTTGATGAATTTCAAGGCCTTTCACACCTAGAAGCTCTGGAGATGCTTTCCCGAGAAAGTGAAATAAAGGTAAATCCAAACTAAAAATCCCAGCTGAGAAGTCTTCAAATAAAGGAATGCTGCATAGCTTCTTTTCTCTTTCCACATTAGGAAGATGAAATGTGTTTCCAATGGAGGCTTGAGACTCTATGGAAATACTATACCAGAACAAACAAGAAACTGATTTTGAACAAATTGCTAAAAAGAAGTAGGATGAACCAAGTGTATTTCTGTAAAATTACACAAAAAAGTATAGATTAATAAGGAGGTCCTTAATAACACATCTGCTATTTTTCCTATACCTCAGTCTTTTTTTTTTTAATAACCCCCAGTTTCTTTGGTTTCAGCTGCCAAAAACCTATTGACTTAAGCTGTTAATTTGTATATGGTTAGCTTTTAATTGATTCAAAATGATTTAATGTTCCTCCCTGATTTTTAATTTGTTTTTAAGCACTAATAATTTCCAGATGTCTCTAGCTTTTGTTAGTTTTGGAAGTACAGATTCTCCCTACCTTTCTGTAATAATTATCCTCTTGTGTTGCTGGTGAGCTCATAGTTCTGACTTCAGTTTGACCTATTGTGTCTTCTCCAGTTGAGAATTGTTTTTTCCTTTTCAGACTCTTACAGTTTTTTTTTTTTTATCTCATATCCATTTAGGTGAAATCTATCCTTAATTCTTTAAGTGGAGAAGAATTAGAGGCACTAAAGTTTGAATTAGAGCAACTCAAAGAAGCATTTTCCCTGGCAGAGTTTTGTGAAGAAGAGGAAGAAGAGAAAAAAGGTAATGTGAAAATTCATTATCTGAATGTAGAGGATGCAGTGTGTTTGTATGCAGTGGTTTGCCCATGAAATAAATTATTTATTCTCTAATTATACTAGTTTGATTTTACTTTTTTCAGTAACAGTTTTCATGCAGACTCCTTTCTGCAGCCTTTCCCCTGACTAGTCATTGAAATGAGCAAGTCATTCTCATGTCCAGGTCTACTCTTCTTTTCACTGCCAGACTCTTTGGAGCTTCTCCAAGTCTATTTTGTGTGTGTGTGTGTGTGTGTGTGTGTGTGAGATAATAGGAATTGAACCCAGGACATCACACATGCTGAGCTATGTCCTCAGCCCTTCCAAGTCTAATCTTGCAGAACACATCTCTTGACTCTTTTTTTTGTCTTTTTTTTTGCACTCAGAGATGCTCTTGTCAGATTCTTTCCTCAGTTTGTCAGGCCATCCCTATGAGCATCTGTATATCTAGATACTTTACCTATGCTTTTCTGACTTCTGTGACCCCCTAACCCCATCTTGAATTGAAGCCTGCAAGATGGCAATTATCCAAAATGTGGATGATACTTTGTTTTTTATTTTATTTTTACAAATTTTGTCTTAAATTTTAATATCTGTATTCCTTGGGAAATATAGACATTGAAACTATTCATTTTTGTAAAATTATCAGGAAACACGATAGTTTATATATATAGCACAATTTCTAGGCAACTGAATCTTAAGCTCTAAGGGTTGTTTTTAACATTAAAAAAAATTTTTTTAGTATCTTTATTTTATTTATTTATTTTTTATGTGGTGCTGAGGATCGAACCCAGGGCCTCACACATGCCAAGCGAGCACTGTACTGCTAAGCCACAACCCCAGCCCCTGTTTTTAACATTTTTAGCTGGAAATATTTCTAAGATATATTCTCTACTAACTGACTTCTTTTAGAAAGTGGAGTTAATGAATATATTTTGCCTTTTCTTGATGAAACACTTAATTATAAACATTATTGAGTAGAAAAATTCTCTCATGGTTCATCAAAACATAAAGGGCTGGTTACCCATGTGGTAGATTAAATCAGTGGTTCACAAAATATGGTCTGTGCATTCTTAAGTCTCTAAGACCCTTTAAGGGTGTTCATGAGTCAAAATGGCATAATAATATCAATATGTAACTTACTTTTAGAAAAATTTTTGTTTTATTTTTCACTGTTTTGATATTTTATCTTCACTATCATTGAACTTGCTTTGAGTCTCATTTGGATTTTTATTTTTAATTTATATGAGCGGGAACCCAAACAATTAATCTTATTCAGGTTTCTATTGAGAGAGCAAAGATCTCCTAGTGTAGGTTTTAGGGCCTTGTCTATGAGAGGAGGACAAAAAATTGTGTAGATTCTGCATAGATAAAGACTTTTACTCTTTTGTTTCTTTTTGTGTTCTTATTGGGTTCTAAGTCAAGATGTCTGGTTATGTAACATCTCATTAATCATACCTTATTCTGTATAAAGGTACTATTATTGATTAGAAAATGGTTTTTGAAAGTCATCCTAAGATATTGAGATTGTGGTTTAGCTTAATGAATAAAAAAATGACTTTTTAGGTTAGACTTGGGTTCATATTTACTAAGTCTTGTAACCTTGAGAGATTACTTAACAGTGAGCTTCTGTTTCCCCATTGTAAGAACAGGATCTAATTCCTCTCAGGTTGTTATAAGGGCTCAACTAAATATTATATTTAATGTGTGGCACATTAGTAAGCATCCAGTAAATGATGGCTATTTTTAGGTTCATTATTAGGGAGATATAAATAAAGGGATAAAAATCTGCATTTTAAAAGTCTAACTTAGCAGGAAAGCAGTAACTTGATTTTGATTTGTTCCATTTGACCAAATATGACAGTGTCCAGTTATTTACAAACATTTAAGTTTTTTGTGCATGCATTAATAGTATTTGTTCAATTTAGTCAACATCTGGCTTTGCATATTATTAGAAATTCTGATCTTTAAACACTAGAGGACTCTAAGGAGTTTTATAATCGAATGGTTTAGTGTCTGTGATACTTTACCCCTGTCTGTTTGCCAGAGATCAGAACTTTGAAGATACAGCAGTGAATTCTAGGACAACATCCCCATCCTTCACCCTGCCTCTGCCCTCCTAAGTGATTTTGATTGAGAATGGAATAGTGTCTTTAGTGTTTAATTATAGCTCAATGAAGCTGTTAAAAATAATGGAGGTTGCAAATAGGAGAGAAAAATCATAGAACCTGGTTCTGGTGATGTTGGTCATCTTCATTTTTCATCAGCATCCCTAGCCCTTGCTCCTGATGTGCCTAATCACTTTACATAAGAGGGAATCATCTTGCTTGGGGAGACTCCAGCCTCTCTCATGAGTCCCTCCAAAGCACTAGCCCTGTCTCTCTTACATCTTTACAGAATTTTATTCTAATGCAACAGCTACTTTTTTATGTTCATTTCCATGGAAAGTATGTGATTGTGATCTCTTAAACATTTTTTTGATCATAAATTTTGCCAGCAAAAATTTATTGATAACTTAGACATTAATATCTATCTTTACACACATACATATACATACATATAAATGTTTATAAATTAAATACATTTAAATACCATGTTATTTACATTCTGAATTATACCCTAAATTAGAATTTTTTAATAGAATAAGATGAGTGTCCATAAATAAAAGCAGATTATTTTTTCCTGTATGCCTTTAGATTATTTTGTGAACCCTTTGAGATACAGATTTAGAATTTCTGTGGATTCAGATTCATTACCTGCACCCAAATAATTTAGGGCTTAGTTAGGAAATCACAGTGGCTATCAGAGTCAGATTTTAGATTTTTTCATAGCAGGATGTCATTAGGTGTTTAGATGAGTTATGTGGGGTTAGAGTTGTGTCAGTGAGATCAGCTTTTCCCAAGCCATGTTGTACTTGAGATTATTAAATCAATTTAATTCTCAACCTTAAATGCCAGAATGAGGAACAAAATGATAGTGGATGGAGAGAAGAGCCAAGATATATTTCCCCTTCCCTGGGGATTTTTTGGGGAAATACCAGGCATAAAATAAGTAACAATTTGCCCCTGTAAGCCATTGACTGGTGCTTAAGAAATGCTCATAAAGATTTTAAGTGCTTAAAGATTTCTTTACACAAGAATTTTCTTTTACATTTCATGTTGCAGAGGAGCCTTAGGCTGGGCCTCAAAGGGGAGAATGGATAGAATTTTTTAAAATTTCTTCTGGAGTTGTAGGTGGTCAGGATGCCTTTATTTTTATGTAGTGCCGAGGACCGAACCCAGTACCTCACACATGCAAGGCAAGTGGTCTGCCTCTTAGCTACAGCCCCAGTCCTGGGTAGAATTTTGATGGTAGAGAGGGAAAGAGATTCTTGCCATTCACTTAGAGATCTTGATCTTGACTCACGCATTTGTTTGTTTCTCAAATGTAGGTGTTCTATATTCCTATCAGCTGTGACTGGGCTAACTCCAACAGCTTCCTTAACCATCTTTCCAACATTCTGGAATAGCCTGTTCTTTTCATTTCTCAGTGTCCACTATTATATCTTTCCTGGATCATGGATTTGTACTTCAGCCTTATTTCCCTTTTTGTTCCCCTTCTTATCCATTCTTCACCTAGCAGCCAAAGTAATCCTCTGTAATTTAAATTTGATCGTGTCTGTTTGCTTAGAATCATTCAGTGGATCCTCAGTATAAAGTTTGAGTCCCTCATCATGGCTCCCAAAGCCCTTTATTTTCTGGATTTTACTCCCCTTTCTAGCTTCTTAATACTTTTCCTCTTATATTAGACACTTTTACCACATTAAACTTCTTGCCATGCTTTCTTATATCCCCGGATCTTTGCACTTGTTTTCTCTCCCTGAAACTTTTTCCATTCTCCTTATTAACTGTTCTCATCTTTTGTGACTCAAATTCCATTTCCTTGGAAGCACATGCACAGTATCTGTTTAATTAGTGCTCTACCTTCACCATTTCTTCATTATGGGATGTAATGCAAAGAACACCGGGAGCGGGGAGGGCCAAGGTTTGACTACTATTGCTGTGCAGTCTTGTGGAGATCACTTCATCTTTTCAAGTTCTTGTTCTTCAACTCTAAAATGGGGTAATGACACTTTTTTTTTTTTTACAAGCTTATTTAAAACATTCATTGATATAATATACATTAAAAAAAAAAAAAGAAGATTCTGTGTAAGCACTGAAACTCCAAGCTCATGTAAATTGCTGCTGCTGCGGCTGCTACTATTGTTATTAATACTACTGCTACTGCTACCACTCCTCTTCCTTCTCACCCTCCTCTTGTTCCTCAGTAGTTTTTCTGGAATGTTTTACACGGGACTTGGTTTTGTAGGGGATGAAGATTTTACCAAAGAGGTAACAGAGCTGTTTTCTCAACTGCACGTCTCCTCCAAACCAGAGAAACTTGCCAGGGTAAGTTGTTACTTTTTGGTAATTTTTATTATTTTATCTTAAATAGTTTAGTAGAAAAGACCATAAGATCATAAATTCTGGCCAGGGGCGTCATCAAAATTAAGGATATATTATCAACATACCCAGAAAAGTGTTCCACACCTTCCTGCCTCCTGTTCTCCCCAGGGTGGTGGGCTGAATCTGTATCCACCTCTGCCAACACGTCCTATCCTCACCTGTTATCATTTGGGATGCTTTGCTTATCTGAAAGCTTAATTTAGGCCAGAGTGTTTGTAATTTGAAGTTGGCACTACTGACCGAATTTCATGATACCAAAGGGCAAGCCTCTGTTGAGGGCTCATTGATCTCAGGGCTTTGCAGAGATGATGAGTATGACTTGAGGCTGTCATTTCCCAAAGCTCAATGACTCAGATAATGACCATTTAGCATGTGGAAATGAAGAGTCTCAGGCCAAAATCTTAGTCTTTGGTGATGAGTTCTGAGCTGTCTTCAATACATCTGGAACATACACTTTATCAAAGCTCAGAGTGAATATGGATCCATTCTTTCCTTCTCTCCTTTATAAAAATAGAATATTCCTTAAAAAAAATAGAATATTCCTTATTCAGGGGTTTATCTTATGTTTTCTCATGCTTAAAGTTAGGCTATGCATTCCAAAGGCCAAAATGCCCTGGGAATGGATCATGCCCAGTTCCAGTGGATCATGGGCTCCTTCCTGCCTCTACACCCATCTCTCGCAGGATTGAGAAATATTTCAGTATTAATCAGCTGGGGGCACACATTGCTTCCTGGCCAGAGGGCTGATAGCCATTCTGTCTTCAACATACTCATCTTCTCTCCCATACCCCAGGGTAAGGAATATGAAGCTTAGTGTTTTATCCCAGTCTCCCATGATCACTGGAAATATTGTATTCTCCAGGAAAGTTTTTCACACCATTCTTAAGCAGCTCATCTTCCTCATCTTAATTGTAGTCCCTTACCATAGTATTTTCAATCTTGCATTACAGTATTTTTTTATGAAATAATATGAAACAGAAATGTTGCAGAAGTAGTATAAGCAAATGTTCATGTACCTTTTATGCAGATACACTGTTGTTAACATTTTACCTTATTTACTTAATCATTTCTGCTTACACATACACATGTATGCATGCACACACCCCTCATTTTTGTAACCATTTGAAAGTTGTAAACATCATAGCTCTTTACTCCTAAATAATTCAATATATATTTCTAAAAGGATATGAATATCTTCTTGCATAGCTAAAGTATAGTTTCCATCTTCAGTAAATTTAATGTTAATACTGTACTTTCATTTACTCTGTTGTTCTTATTCCAGTTTTGTCAGGTGATTCAGTGATATTCTTCATATCACATATTTTCTTCTGACACCAGAGCCAGTTCATGGTCATGACTTGTATTTAATTGTTGTGTACTTTTAATCCCTTTAATCTGAAATATTTTCTCATCCTTTCTTTGTCTTTTATGACATTGACATTTTTGAAAAATACACACTTCCCTCTCTTTATAAAAAGAGAATATTCCTTATTTCTGGGGCTTATCCAATGTTTTCTTTTGCTGGAAGTTAAGCTGTGCATTCCTATGGCCAAACTGCTCCATAAGGGATGGCCTGTCTTGCCCAGGGTATCAGATTTAAAGGCTCATGATGTCCATCTGCTCCTTACTGGTGATGTGTTGTCTGATTTCTCTTTGTAGAATCATAATTTATTTTCATTTGCTTCTAATATGCTTTCTGTGGAGATATACTTTAAGACCCCACAAATATCTTGCTTTTCATCATAATTTCCCTCCTAAATTTAGCTTCTATTTATAATTCTTGTTGCAACAGTCTTTATTGTGAGGATTGCAAAGTGATATTTTTCTAGCCTCAGCACACTCTCCACATTTACCAGTTGGCTTTGAGCATTCTTCATTTTTATCAAGAGCTCTGTCCCCATTTTGTTTTCTTCCTTCCTTTTTTTTTTTTTTTTTTCTATTATTGGTATGATTTTGTGGATTTTGACTTTTTCTTCATTGGTTTGCAGTTCAACTCTGCCTCAGTTATTTTTTTTTTTTGAGAGAGAGGGAGAGAGAAAGAGAGAATTTTTTAATATTTATTTTTTAGTTTTTGGCGGATACAACATCTTTGTTTGTATGTGGTGCTGAGGATCGAACCCGGGCCACATGCATGCCAGGCGAGCATGCTACCGCTTGAGCCACATCCCCAGCCCAGCGTCAGTTATTTTGATGTTCATATTGTCCTTCAGGCTGGCTCCTCTGTGACACGCCCTATCAATTCTTTATTTTCTGGCATAGCAAGGTAGTATAGACTCATCTTGTACCCTCCATTTCAGCCCTGGAATTAGCTATTCTTTCAAGAATCCACAGTTCCTTTTTAGTGTTATAGATCATGACTAAGTGTCCTCATTGCTATTGGGGTGTCTGCCTCTAGGCTCTGTCAGTACAGCTAGGAGATATACTTAGGTACACACATACATGTATATGTGTAGATACATAAATATGCTCATATGTGTACATTATTTTAGGAATTGATTTCATGCTAGTAACTCCAATTTTAATCTGCTCCCACAGGGTTTGTCCTTGCCTTTTCCTAGACCTTCTTCCACAGTAAGAACCTTATCTCCCAACAATACTAGCAAATATTCTTAATAATTTAATGCATTTGTAATAATTTCATTGTTTTGCCCATACTATTATAAATCAACCTACAGAAAGAATTTATGATTTGTTTGCTGTCCCCTAGAGTATTAACGTGCTTCCAGAAGTCAAAACTATACAAAAAATATACTCAGAAAAGTGCAATTACCTCCCAAGTCTCTACTACTGCCTTCTTTTTTATATGTTCAGCTTCCTTGTTTTCTGGCTTGTACTTCCTTTTCTTTTTTGTAAAGATAAGCAGATATCTCTTTCTTACACAAAAATTAACATACTCTATATGTGCTTTAGCACTCTATTTAACATTGTGCATATGTATTTTCATAGCTTTTTTTTTTTTGATGGGGAGAGTACTGAGAATTGAACCCAGAGGAAATTCACCACTGAGCTACATCCCTAGCGCTTTAAATTTTTTTTTTAAATTTTAAGACAGGGTCTCACTAAGTTGCTTAGGGCCTTGCTAAAGTTACTGAGGCTGGCCTCAAACTTATGATCCTCCTGTCTCAGCTTCCCAAGCTGCTTTGATTACAGACATGCACCACTGCATCCAGCTTTTCATACCTTTTTAAAATATATCTTACCTCCTAACGTAAATCTTAATTTTTTGAAGTCACGATCTATACATATATGTAAAGTCCCAGCTCTATACCTCTTATAATCTGTGTGACCTTGAGCAAGTTGCTTAACCTTTCTTTGCCTCAATTTCTCTATTTATGAGGTGGAATAATATAGAATTCTTATGAGAATTAAATGTGTTAATATACACAAAACTCTTCAAAAATGCATGATTCATTGTGAATAATGCTCACTTTGATGGCATCACAGAAGCTAGCTGATGTCTAGTACATTCAGATGTTCCATAAGCAAGCATATATTCAGTTAACCTTCATTATGCTAGGTATTTATCTAGGTGCTAGGGAAATAATGAGAAAGACAGTTTCCATGTTCTTATAAATCACACTAATAAACAAATATGTTTAAAATAACAGTTATCTGTGTGTTAGTTCTAGCTACTCTCTGAAAGCAGTCTATTTAAATTTGGGGCATTGAGATTTAAGATGTAGGATAAAGATCAGCCAAGGTCTGATTGTTCCCGTATGTGTGATAAAGGGAAAAGAGCACTGAAGTAGAATCTGGGAATATGATTCTAATTCTCATTTGGACACTCACATATGTTATGACCTTGGTAAATCCCATTCCTTCTTCAGGCCATATTATTTCTCAGTTGGAAAAAATCAGTTGTTGGAAAAGCTGAGCTCAAAGGTGCCTTTTAACTCCTAAGATTCCAGATCTCACCAGTGGGAAGTTCTAGGCTGAATCATGGAAGTGGATGACAGTTTTGGAAAAGGCTGAAAAATTATCCTAAACTGGCACAGTAGTTCATAATGACTTCACTTAATGTACTATAAGAGAGGTCATTTGGGTATGTACTATGCCTACTAAAATATCTCCTTTAATATATTAAATGTATGCTATCAGTTTTCTTTTTTTTAAAATGTGGCTTTATTGCTTTCTATTAAAATCTCAGATAAATTAATTCTTAGTTTTTTTCTCATTTTATCTCTTCAAAGAAATTACAAAGAATTTCACTTACAGTTTGGAATATTAGGCAACTATTAGGATTCCTTCCAGTTAGGATTCCTTCCAGTTTCCTATGTCACTCTTCTATAAAACTCACCACTCTGACCTCGTCTCCTGTCATGTTCCCCCATCCTCTATATTCTTCCCATACTGGCCTTTGTTCTGTTCCTCAAATATACCAAGCTGCTTTCCCTGTGCTTATGGGTGTCTTTACCTAAATATTTGTATGTTCGACCCCTTTTTACCCTCCACAGTGCAGCTCAAATTTTACTCCTCAAAGACCTTTCCTAACCACTCAAATTCAAGCCACCGTCTGCTCATCTAATCCTATACTCTCTATTATCCCATTTTATTTTATTTATGCATGTGTTTATTTGCTTTCTTATTAATTATCTTCCCTCTCAAGAATAAAGAAGAGCAGATCCCTAGTTTGGATCATTCATTAGTGAATCTGTAGCACCTAGCACAGTATGCAGTATATATTTATAATAAATGAATGAATAAATGCCTGCATCCTGTGTACTGTGATCTTGCTAGATATCTCAGATTTTGCTCTGCACTTTGAGTTTTCCTGATTCTGAACCTTTGTTTAGGTTATTCTGTTTGGTTTTGTGCACTTGAGAGGTTAATGCTTAAGTAATGGGAAGGTTTGGGTTACAGCCAGATTATTCCTGTAAGTTCTTGTTAGAGGTTCTATGCCATAGGGGCAAGGATCCTGAAATGAATGTCTGGATATACACTTGTTTTGTAGCCTCGCACGCAACCCTACCTGGGCTGAGTAATAAAACCTGTGATTCTCTGTTAGAATAACTCTCAAGGTTGTTTGTAAATTCCTATTACCAGGTTACAGCCTTAAATATATTCTGTCTATATAAAGTTAAGTGAATGCTTTCATTTAATGACAGTAAATGCTTCTTGAGAAACCAGGAAACTTTTTCTTTTTTTAAATGCCTCCACATTTAATTTTCTTTTTTTAATTAGTTGCTCATGACAATACAATGATCTTGACATATCATACATTTGGTTCAAATGGGGTATGAATTCTCATTTTTCCATGTGTACTGGTTGCAGGATCACATTGGTTATACGGCCACGTATATACATACAGCAGTACTAGTGTCTATTTTATTCTGCTGTCCTTCCTATCCCCCCCTTCCCTCCCCTCCCCTCCCATCACCTCTCTCTACCCAATCTACTGTGACTGCTTTCTCTCTCTTTTTTTTTCCTTCCCCCTCACATCATCATACATGTATTTTGTATAACAAAGAGGGTCTCCTTCCATCTTCCGTGCAATTCTCCTTCTCCCTCCCATTCCCTCCCCCCTCTCTTCCCTATTTAATGGTAATCTTCTTCTCATGCTCTTCCTCCCTACTCTTATTTTGAGTCACCCACTTTATATCAGAGAAGACATTCGGCATTTGTTTTTTAGGGATTGGCTAACTTCACTTAGCATAATCTGCTCTAATGCCATCCATTTCCCTGCAAATGCCATGATCTTGTTATTTTTTAGTGCTGTGTAATATTCCATTGTGTATGAATGCCACATTTTTTTTTATCCATTCATCTGTTGAAGGGCATATAGGTTAGTTCCACAGTCTAGCTATTTTATCTACAAATTACAGAAAGTCAAGTCAGACTTCCCTAAGAGGAGAATTCAATAGCCAAAAACACTAGACAATCAAGGGGCAAGAATGGCTTCAGGCATGACTCTACTCAGGAACCTCTATCTTGGCTCTGCTTTATTTTGCTTTGGCTTCATTCTTAAGGATCCTTCCCACGTAGTGATAAAATAACCACTAGCAGTTTCAGGTTGATTTTTTTGACCCCCATTTGAATAACTCCAACAGAAAGAGTACTTTCCAGCAAGCATTTTGAATACATTGTTTTCAGCAGAGGTAAGGGATGGACATAAGAATCTAGGAGTTAGCAGCAAGTCAGGGATAGTTAAAAATCACTGGAGTAGAGTGAATGTAGATGCCCAAAGAGAGGAAGTAGAGTGAGACATGTAGAAAGTAAAGGCAAGAACTCCAGATAATGATGTTTAAGGACTGTCCAAGTAGGATCAGTACATACAAGAGACTAAGGAGGTGTGATTATAAAGATAGGTGGAGAACCAGATAATAGTGGTGTTACAAAAACCAAAGAACTAGAAACCACATCGAGTTTCATTATTAGGAGAATGGTATATGTATAAAATGACATACTACATAGAAATAAATAAGAATGGGCTGTAAATACACAAAACAACATGGATAAATATAACTGACATTTGTTGTGCATTAAGTAGCCCTACACAAATTAGGGTAAGTGGGCTTTCTGAGGGTGGTAGGAATGAGATCTGATTCTCATTTTCACAGGCATATATACATGTAAACTGTGTGTGTGTGTGTGTGTGTGTGTGTGTGTGTGTGGTGGTGATTGGACCCAGGATCTGTGCATGCTAGGCAAGTGCTTCATCACTGAGCTAAATCCCCAGCCCACATGTAATATTTCTTGAACTGTACTCTGAAGATTTGTACACTTTATTATTGTGGGAACAAATGCATGGAGTACTGCATACATGGCATACATTAAGGGCATCTGAGTGGCAGGCCACTTCCCTAGTGCTTGGTGTGTGAGCGGCAGACCTCTTACCCCGTAGGCACATCCCTGGGTGTGAGGCCATGTGTTGCTGTCCCAGGGCTTGCTCCACGGCCTGCTCCTCGATTGGTCATAGGAGTAGAATGAATGTAGATGCCCAAAGAGAGGAAGTGAAGTGAAACATGTAGAAAGTAAAGGCAAGAATTCCAGATAATGATGTTTAAGGACTGTCCAAGTAGGATCAGTACATACAATCACAGTTAGCAAGAAATTGTGTTGATGGCTGCCTATAATCTGCCTAGCTACTGCCTGAGTATATATCCATGGTAACTATGCGATAAAATCAGACCTGCTTCCAGCTTGGTCTCTGAAGGTCTTGATTAGTGACTCTGCAGCCACAGTCTCCTCAACCCTGTTCCATGGACCGCCTCGCTGGACGAGAGAGAGCCCACATATTATATGTAAGTTATACCTCAGTTGGAAATAAAAAGCCAAAGAATCAAGGGAATTTTGAAAAGAAATGAGTATACGCGGTGCCAAGTGTCCACAGTTCTTGCCTAGTAAGATAAGGACTGCAACACTAGATGGTATGATCAGCTGAGAAAGAGAGTGCTGACTTCCAGGATGCTAATGTTTTCGTGGTAGGTGCAGAATAATCTCGGTGAGCTGAATTGAATTGCTGGTGTGCAATAACCTTTCCTTATTTAGGCAAGAAGTACTGCCTACGAATGGATCAGGGCATTTCCGACCACACCATTAGCAAAGAAAGAAGAAGAAGAAAAACAGTCAGAGACAGAAAATACTGAAGAAGTCAATAAAAATTCAATAGAGGTAAACAAAGCAACTAAGCTTTTTTTTTTTTTAATAGATTTGAGATGTGGGTATTACAATTGAGGACCCAGTGTCCTTCTGTTTTGTTGAACTGCTATCCATCATTTCAACCTCGTGAAGCCAAATTGTAGTATCTTAGTTTCAGGCACTAGAAGTAACCCAGAAGTAGAGAGAGAGAATGCAAGTAAGCGTGCGCACAAATACAACAAAAGGGTGCATGTGTGTTTGGTCCCAAGGAGAGTTCCCAGAAAGGGCCACCAGATGCTTAATGTAAATCTTTTGGCCAAAACTTAGTCACACCCGACTCTAGGGGAGCCTCTGTTTTTTTAAAATTTTTTAGTCATGACTGTAGCTGTAAAAGTACATCACTACTGTGGAAGAAGATGAGAAAGCTTATTAAAGAGTGACTCTACTCTCAAAATATTGAATTATTCAGAATGAAAGAAGCAAGGTGGTGTCATTGCCTTGCAGATTAAAAACAAAAAACTAAAACCTAATGTTTTATTTTGTTGTGCTTTCTTTTGTTTTTCCATTCAGGATATCCATGCATTTGCAATTCGCAGCCTAGCAGAATTGACTGCCTGCTCTATTGAACTATTTCACAAAACAGCAGCGTTAGTTCTGCATGGTGGGAAGCAGGAAGTGACAGCCATAGAAAGGAGCCAGACTCTTTCCCAGTAAGTGTAATGAATATCTCTTAAAGATAAAAAGGGCTGGGACTGTGGCTTAATCCCCAATACGTATGTACGTATGTACATATGCATACATACATACATAAATAAAACGGCACTAATTGCTGAAAGAGTTTTCTTGGCTTAATTTCCAAAGTTTTTTTTTTTTTCTCCCCTCCAGATTTTTTTATTGGTGCCTGATAGTTATATAAAATTAGTTTCCAAAATTTTTAGAAATGTCTATATCGTCTAGGTACTATTTATATCATATAATATTTGCATAGTAAAAGTTTTTTCATTTTAAGTGTTTTTTTCTTTTTACTGAACTATTGTATTATAAACCTGCCCTTTTTTATTAACCAACTCATGCTCTGAAAACTGTATTTTGCAGATTGTTAGTGTGAATAGGAATGGAATTTGACATAAGTGAAACAGAAAATAGTTCTAAGAACTTGAGTTTTTAGTTATTGAGTGCTAATTATATGTAGGCACCATGCTGCGGGATTCACATGTATTCTAATTTTTACAGTAACCCAAGGGATTAGTTCAGCTTTAACAAAGAGGAAATGCAGACTCAGAAAAGTTAAGTAATCTGCACAGGTTGTGCAACCTACGATTTAGACATAGGTCTGACTATGTCACACATCCATTCTTTTTTTCTGACCTTATTACTGATCTTGAGAAAAAAGTATTCAAAATATAATGTTAAGTAATCACAGGAGAAAGAAAAAAGGCCCAGTAGTTTCTAAATAGATCTCCTTATTTAAATGAGAATTTTTATTATGAAAAAAAATGTCCAATGTGTTAGAATTGGGAATGGCTACTGATATTCTCCAGACTGGCCTCTTCAGCAGCAGCAGCATGGTCCCTCTACGACATCCCATGGGGGGATTTTTTTGTTTTGTCTTGAACACCCTTAAGGATGAGAGTGACGCAGCTGTGATCGTGTGAAAAGTCGCTGTTCTTGCTACTCTGATTGTTCTTCCAGGCATATCTCATACCTGTACAGAATTCAGCTTTCTACTCAAATGCCACCTTCTCAAAGACACCTTTCTTCATCGTAGTCTAAAATAGCATCTCTCATCATTTTCTAGTCATTATTATCTGCTTTATGTAGCTCATATCACCACGTAGTAACATATATACATGTGTTTATACATATGTATACATATTCAAATATGTGTGTGTAATGTTTGTATGCTGTCTTCCTCTTAATTAGCAAGAAAGTTCAAATCCATGCAAACTAGTACTTTACTGACACATCTCCAGTGCTTAAAATAGTGCCTGGCATATAGAAGACTTTCCATAAACATTTTCTGTTTTAATTATATTTCTAAATGGAATGTTGGGTCTTTTAAGTATTGTGTCCTTTAATGCATTTTAGGTATTTTCTTCGATTTAACTAGTACTTTCTAGAGAATTTTGTAGGGAAATGTTTTTATAAGGCATGGACTTTCTCTTCCTGTAGCATGAATGTCTGCTCAGATGGATCTCCAATTACATTAGGAAGCTGATGTAGGCATATTTATACATTTGAAAGTTTCTTGTGTCACATTTCTTTAACTAAGTGATTTGTTTTCTTATGACAATTGTTAAATGTAACAGAGAGAGAGAGAGAAAGAGAGAGAGAGAGTGAGTGTGTGTGTGTGTGTGTGTGTGTAAGAGAGAGAGAGAGTGTGTTAGAGAGTGAGAGAGAAAAGAACCCTCCTGATTTTCTTCATTATTTTCTAGGATGACAATTGTATTGTGTAAAGAGTTGTCCTGTCTGTCTAAAGAGTTTACCACCTGCCTAACAACTGCTGGGGTAAGAATGGGATAATATCATATAACTGTTTTTTTAAACAGCTTAATTGAGATATAGTTGATGTGCTATAAAATTCAACTGTGTCAAGTATTCAATTCTATGGATTTTAGTGTATTTACAGAAATGTGCAGTAATTATTATGATAGAATTTTAGAACATTTTCATCATCCCCCCCTTCTAATCATAATATATTAGCAGTCACTCTTCATTTCTTTCTCTTCCTTACTCCCCCAACGCTGGTGATACAAATTTATTTTCTTTCTTTGTAAATTTACTTATTTTGGACAATTCATGTAAATGAAATCATATATTATGTGGTATTTTGTGTCTTGATTTCCTTCATTTAGCATAATGTTTTTGAGGTCTGTCCATGTTTTAGCATATCTCAATCAACATTTCATTTTTTTATACCTTTATTTTATTTATTTATTTTTATGTAGTGCTGAGAATAGAACCCTGTGCCTCACAAAGGCTACGCAAGTGCTCTTCCACTGAGCTACAACCCCAGCCTAGCATTTTATTTTTATTAGTGCATAGTACTCAATTTTATGGAGGTACATATGTATTTATGTGTTTGTATATATGTATACCTGTATACACATACATACATATATACCCATTTTTTTTATCTTCGTTTGATAGACATTTAGTGTATTTCCACTTTCTGACTGTAATTAATAATGTCATGAACAAGCATATATGACCTTTTGCATGAACATTTTCATTTCTCTTGGGTAGTTAGAAGTGGATTGCTCTGCTGTATGGTTAATAATAGCCCATTGAGTAACTGCCTAGTTGCTTTCCAAAGTGACTGCACAATATTGCATTGTCACCAGTGATGTAAGGGTTCTCCTTTTTCTACATCCTCATCAACACTTGTTATTGTCTTTTTAATTTTGACCATTTTAGTATATAAAGTGGTATCTCATTGTAACTTTGATTTGCATTTCTCTAATGGCTAATGATATTGAACATATTGTCTTTTACTTGTTGGTCACCTGTGCAGTGTTGGAGAAATGTCTGCTCGAGTCCTTGGTGCACTTTTCCCCCATGTTTTAAGAGATGGGGTCTTACTGTGTTGTCGAGGCTGACCCTAAACTCATGGGCTGAAGTGACCCTCCTGCCCCAACCTCTTAAGTAGCTGGGACTATACTTGCATGCCACTGTGCTCACCTGGCTTATTTATTTTTTTTTTTTAATTGGACTGTTCTTTCTTTTTATTATTAATGTATAGGAGTTCTTTTTTTCTGAAGGTAAGTTTCTTACCAGATATTTTCTCTCAGCCATGGATTGTGGTTTCACTTTCTTGATAGTGTCTTTTGCACAAAAGTTTAAAAATCTCGATGAAATCAGATTCCCAGTATTCTCTTTTATCACTTGTGCTTTCTGTGTTATAGTATCTAAGAAATCATGAAGACTTACTTTTGTGCTTTCTTCTAAAAGTTTTGTTTTAGTTCTGGTGTCTGATCTGTTGTCTGATCCATTCTTTTTACCAATTTAATTGTCTTGGCCCCTTTCTGGACTCTCATTTATATTATGTTGATTTCTGTGTGAGTATCCTTATGTGAATACTATGTTGTCTTAATTAATGTAACTTTGAATCAAAAAGTATGATTCTAGCTGGGTAGGCTACTCAGGAGAATGAAGCAGGAGGATTACAAGTTTGAGGCCAACCTGGGCAGCTTAGTGAGAGCCTATCTCAAAATAAAATAAAAACGGGTGGTGATGTAGCTCAGTGGTAGAGTACTTGCCTAGTTTGTGCTAGGCCCTGGTTTAATTCCCAGTACTTCCCCTGCTCACCCCTCTCAAAAAAATATTTTCTTTTCCAAGCCATTTTAATCATTTGGACCCCAGGCATTTCCATATGAATTTTAGAGTCAGTTAAAGTTATGTCTAACTTATTCTTACAAACTCTTTTGTTCTCTCTTCTATGAAGTCTTCATTATGCTTTGTGCTTCCTAGACCTGTATTGAAAATATAGACCTTAATAAAATAACAAGCCCAAATTTTTTGCCCTGACTTTTAAAGAATAGCTTCTTAATTAGACACTGGTAACATTCATATTGTATAGTTGCTAGCCAGTGAGAGAGCTGTAATTAACATTAAAGTTGTTTTTTTTTTTTTAAATTGGAATTACAAAAATTTACTGAAGGCATGTACCATGAATTAGGATAAATGAAGGCATTTTAATTGGTGTATTATTATACCTAATAGTGACATTCATTTTGCGTTATTCATACAGGCACATATCTGATCAGTTTTATTCCCCAGTACCTCCCCTCCTCTATCCTACTGATCCCTTTGTTCTATTTTACTGTTCTTTCTTCTGTTATTATTTTTTAATTAGAGCATTATAATTACATATAAATTCTGGATTCATTGTGGTAAACTCTTAAGGACTCAGCATAATTGAGTAGATTTTGCTCCCCATTCCTTTCTCTTTCTCCCTTTCAGTTCCCTTCTACTGTCTTTATCTCCCTTCCATTTTCATGATATCCCTTTTTTATTCCTTTTTATTTTCTTTAGCTTCCACATATGAGAGAAAATATTCAATCTTTGACTTTCTGAGTCTGGCTTATATCACTCAGCATATTCTCCAGTTCTGTTCCATCCATTTTCTGATAATTTCGTTCTTCTTTATGAAATGTGTATATACACCACATTTCCTTCATCCATTCGTCTCTTACAGACTCCTAGGTTGGTTGCATAACTTATCAAGGGCATTTTAATCAAGTAAATGAAAAAAAACTTTATAGTAAGTATGAAGTGTGGTGGCAAAGTTACTATGGGGCCCTGAATTTGTTTTAATTAAGAACATGGCCCAAATTCTTAAATTTGAGATTAGATTATTCATAAGGGTAATCTTAGAATATAGCTCTTCTCTCTCTTTTTAGTATTTTGTTTCTATTTGCTGAAAAATTAAAAATGTTTAGTTGTGCTATAGAAAATACTGAATATGGAATGAAATTGCTTAATGGGATTTGCTCTGAAAATGTGGTGTGTGTGTGTGTGTGTGTGTGTGTGTGAAAGTTCCAGATAATGTTAGTATTTTTGGTAAATATATTTGAAACCATAAACTTGGGTTCCTTGGGGTCCAAGTCATGGGATAAAAATGTTCCTTATTTGGCTGCTGTGGTCTAAGAGAGGAGGGGAGAAGGAGGGAACTGCTGGACTTGGGGAGGGAGGGAGGCAGCATTTTGCCAGAGGTCCTGTGAAGACAAGAATGACGGGAGAAGAAGAATTTTGGCACTTAAGACGTAGGGGAAATTTCTTGTAAGAGTGTATGTGCAAACCAGAGTTAGTATTTTCTTTAAAAGATCTCTGGTTTCCTGAAATTAACTGTATAAGCCACAGTGTTTTGTACTTTAACAAAGTGAATCAGCTATAAAGTACTAACACATGTATTATATTTGCACTATTTATTTGCATGAAATGAGATTTTTCCAAACAGCCTGTCTTTAAAAAAAAAACAAAAAACTTTTTTTGAACACATGTTCTATATACGTTTTGTTTTCAAATTTTTCTAAAAGTTTGTGGTCAGATGTACCTTTCCCACTGTCTCATACAGAATGAGGGTACTTTTAAAAATTCATATAAAAAAAAAAACTATAAAGAGGGTGGGGGTATAGCTCAGTTGATAGAGTGCCTGCCTCACATGCACAAGGTCCTGGGTTCAATCTCCAGCACCACCAAAAAAACAAAACAAAACAAAAAAACCTACGAAGAAAAGTAATCCCAATTTGGATAGCAGAGAGTATAGAGAAAATTAAAAGCACTTAAAATTTCACTTTCCAGAGGTGAAATTTTCCTTTCTCTCAATCCAGATATCCTATGTTTATATTTGTGTGTTTCAAAGTGGGATTATATTCTACCTGTTGTTTAAGGTTATCTTCTGACAACATTGTATCCTTTATTCTAGATTAAAGAAAAGGCAGATGTCCTGAATCCATTAATCACTGCAGTCTTTCTAGAGGTTAGTAATAATTGTTTTTAAGTCTATGATTCCAAAGGCATTTTGTATTTATTAACTCTTATTAAGTCTTTAGCTTTTGACTTTTTTGGTTTTTTTTTCACCAGATTAGTAGTTTGGTGCAGATATGGACAAAGTGGTGTATGTTTGATGTGTATTTTATTGCAAGGCATAGAAGTTGAAGCTGCAGGATAATGTGGATTGGTAGGAGCAATTGGCTGTCCTTTTTTAGTCCCTTTCCCTTGACAGCTTAACATATAATTTCCAGTAATGAAATTACTTCTGGAGACCAGCTGGTAAACATGAAGGGATGAAATAGGCAAGCACTACTTTCTAAAGGACTAAAGCTTATGCAGAAGAGGTGTTTCAAACAAAACATTTTGTCATTTCCTTTCCAAACAATCTTAATTTTTTTTTTTGTCTAATAGGTACCTATGTTTACATAATCCTCATGGAGGGTTTAAGTCTCTGGAAAGGGATGGTGTGCAAGCATCCCATGACTGATTGTATTGCCTCCCTAGGGATGGTTTCTGGATACCATGTTTGAAGAACTGTTGTCTTGTAAATTAATTGTAAAGGCAACTTTAGACTTTTGATGATCTGTTTAAGACATATTATTTATCTTAGAGTAGGAAAGACAAAAATATTGATAATTGGTTAGGTTTTAAATATGAATTTTTTAATACTACTAGACTATTCTCCAGTTTTAAATTATTTAAAAATTACCATTAAAGAAATACTTTTAGTTTCTTAACTACACAGTTTTATTTAAGCAGTCTGAGGAACTCTTTTGATCACTTAAACAATTTTCTTTTTTTTTTGGTACTGGGTATTGAACTAGGGGGCACTTGACCACTGAGCCACATCCCCAGCCCTATTTTGTATTTTATTTAGAGACAGGGTCTCAGAGTTGCTTAGTGCCTTGCTTTTGCTGAGGCTGGCTTTGAACCCTCCATCCTCCTGCCTCAGCCTCTTGAGCTGCTGGGATTACAGGTGTGTGCCACCAAGCTCGGCTTAAACAATTTTTTAAAGGATAATTTTGAGATTTAGTAAATGGCAGAGTGGCAGAGTTGAAAGAACTTTGCAAACCAACAGCACAGTCCTGTCCTTGATTATCTTTGACTTGCTGTATAACACTGAATCAGAAATTTGCCCTTCTTGGTAACCTTATTATTTTTAAGTGCAAAATAAGAGATCTAACCAGATGATCTTTGGGGTGTTTTGGCTGGAAAATGTATTGTCAAATGTCACATTGAAGTTTATATCAAAGTACTAGACAATGATAAATCCAGAAAAGATGATCTTACTTGATATGAATTGCCTCTTGTTTTTTTTTTTTTTAGTTGATTGTTTTTGCTTACAGATTTGAAACACTTTTGTCTTTGAAGTAATACAATTTTATCTTAGTGTAATGAAGTATCTGTTGTTATTATTCTGGAAGGTGAGAGCTTGTTAGATATAAATGAAGTCTGGCAAACTCTGAGCATAATGATTTCATAGTGCTTCTCACAAACAGACATTTCTATCTATACTGTTTCATCTTTAAAGCAGTGTTCCTTGTTTATGTTTGTGAGCAGTTCTCTTGTATTAATGATTGCATTGAGGCCATCAAAGAAGAGCTACCATAATGGGCTGGAAATTCCATAGTGCAGGATTCATTCATAGATTCCTGAAAGCATCTTTCAGTAATTGACTACAGTGCTGTGACAGAAACTACCCACTCAATTAAGGAATAAATAAACGTTGCATGCCAAGTTTGAGCAGGATATCAAACAGCTACCATTTCTGATAGGCAAATTGGGAAAAAAAAATGCTAAATTCTTTTTTGGTACTGTGGTATCATCTCAAGAATTAGGTTTTTTTCCTCTAAAATAGAGTGTACTGCAGTAGTAAGGTCTGTGATCTTACTTGGCCGGCTACAAATTCATTTAGATTACAAATATTGATTTGTTTTATTATCTTATATTTGTTTTACGTGACTGTGATTATTTTCTTTTTTCTTGTTTTTTCAATCCCCCCCAGGCATCAAATAGTGCCTCTTACATCCAGGATGCCTTTCAGCTACTCTTACCTGTGCTGCAGATCTCTCTCATTGAGAACAGGACGGAATTACCCAGGCAGGAGCTACAAGTCCAGAGGCCTTTGCCAGAACATTGAAGAATAGAGAAGATTTGACCTGAGATTTGTGATGGCTAAGAAGTGCCACTTTCTTCAGGGTACCCCTGCAGAAATGAATGAGGAAGGTTATTTTAATATATAAAAATTCAGGCAGGAGAACAGGTTTAAAGAGGAAGTTTGTTTCTTCACTTGGCTGAAGTATTCAAATCCTCACACTATTCCCAGTTATTGACATATTATTTGAAAAAAACACTTTGTGGAAAGTCCAAGAATATAAGCTCTAGGTAAAGTTTTAGTGGGACACTCAGGCAAAAATATTGATCTATTTTTGACATGCTGCAAAACACTAAAAATTTTCTCATGGATATAATCTGTAGCCCATGGATAAAATTGTTGTAAAAAACATGAGGAAAAATCCCTTAATTTGGCATTCTAGAATTTATGACATACTTGGTTTATTAATGCCATGTACTTTCTCCTTTCTAGAATAAAATCTATGGCTTTAAGAAAACTGAGCATATATAAACTCTAAAATGATTACCCTGTATCATGTGATTCTTGGAAATGGCTAGGAAGTTTCATTTACTCTTTAATTCTCAGTAGATATTTGACATTGAGGAGAAACTTGCAGTATTATACTTTTTCAGGCAAATGAACAAAGTATAACAGATTCCCCTTTGGCTTTAAATGACTCCCGTATCCCTTGATGACAAGCTTCAAGTCATAGGTGATTCTCTCCTCAACTGTATTTAAGACCAATAAGTGCAATTTAGAGAAACAGTTTCATATTTTAGATATTCTTTTTAAGTTGTTTTTCATGCATACCCCATAAGCAGGACAAATTCTGTCACAACCAACCCTAAATGAGTGTTGAGGCTCTTTTGTTAGTAGGGTTTTTGTTGTTTGAATATTGTTAAAGTGAGTCATAGTGTCCCATAGAAGTGATATTCATTTATAATAAGATTTAACCTCTAACACATTTTTCTTCTTTGTTTTAATTTGTTCTTTAGCATGGTTTTAAATACAACTTTTATCTTCTAGATCTTATGCCCTCTTTCTTTCTTCAACAACCAAAATATATTTTGATATCTATTCTTTTTAAAAAAGGTCTCCAACTTTGTGGTTTTTAATGATTCAAGTAACTTTTCTGTGAGCTCTGCCCCATTCTTATAACATGTTTAAAATAAAATATAATTGAACTGTTCATAAGTGTGATATTTCACAAATGTCAAGAATGAAAATCATCATTTACTTTATGTACTACAATATGTGCATTTTCATAAAAGGCTTAAAAATGAAGCATTCAGAAATGCCGATGTTATAAATAAATATTCATGCCTCTTAGTTAACATGTCATCAAAGCCCCAGGTTAATACATAAGAGGAATTCTGAAAACCTGCCCACTGACTTGCCCATCTGCATCCTGATGCCTCCCCAAGCACCAGTCTGCTCATTTCTCCATTTTACTTGAGACCCCATCCGTGCTTGTTATTATATCATCTGGCCAAAGTCCCATCATGTCTCAACTATCACTTTTCTTATCAGGAAAATTACAACAAAGAACAGTTCAAGTAGTCTCTTATCTCTCTTGTGTTTTGAGTTAAAGACAAAGAAAGGTACCATGATCACTTCACTCTCACAAATCAATGTTGAACTCGCCAGATATTTACATTTCTGATAGGCTTACCCTTGTACAGAGACTGCAAACTGAATGAAAAAAACAAAAGCAAAAACCATCATCTGTTTCTACTTGTCAGCCTCACATTTGTCCTTTTCCATACATGCTGGCCATGGCTGTGCTCTTAAACTAATTCTGAAGTTAAGTCGTTTTTCTAACTTGAGTGTGAATGCAGCAATATACTAAAAAGTTTTAAGCACATTTGTAAATTGGAATGGAGGTAGTTTGTCATAAAGTTTTTACCTGCCAGTTTCACCTAGGTAACTGTTGCAATGAGCCTAGCAATTTCAACCAAATCAGATTAAACCTGAATAGCCTACATAGTTATTGTAATAAAGTATTGGACTTTGAAGTGTTTACTACAGCTGTATCTTCCTTTACCTATCCCACATGTCATTGGGACTTACTCAAACTGCATAGTTAGCTTGTGTTGAAGCAAAAGTTTCAAAAAAGAATCAAATATTATATATTTCTAACATTCTAACATTTTTAACAGACACGTAAGTGACTTCTGTATTTAGCTTACTCACCATTGAATTCCCAGCTTTCTGGAATTATAGTCTGGCCGATGGTAGGAAGTATTTGTTGTTTGGCTGAAAGAAAAAGAAAAAAGGAGGAAAAGAAAGAAGAGAGGCCAGAAAAAAAAAAAGAAGTAAAAGAATAAATGCAAAATAAAAAAGATAATTTGGTGCTTTTGTAGCAGCAGAGAGTACATTGGGTTGAAACTCCTGGTTCACAGCTATCCACAGTGAGGCCTCATAAGAGGAAGTGACTCCCTGAAGTTGTACAACTGGTGGTGGGCTCAGCTGGGACCTGCACCCAGGTCTTCTGATCCCAGTCTGGGCCTCCATGAGGCCAGAATCACACCAGAGTTCTGCATATTTTGTGGATACAGCTTCCCTGACACTGGATTTGATGCTGGGGAAGCAAAATGCAGAATGTCCCATGGGAGTTTGTGCTGGTGCTCCTTGTCTGAGCAGTCTTTACCTTGTAGTTGCAATGTCCTCTGAGGTAGGAAGTGAGGCAGCTGCTGTTGCAATGAATTATGACTCTGTTGGATGAATTAGTCTCAAATCTGATTGTGATTGTTGAGTTAGTTCAGCACAGCAAATGTTTGCAGATGCATTCATCAGTACCCTCAAATTGCTACTTTTATTTATTCAGGGCCTTGAGCAAGCACTCTTCCAACTGAGCTATATCCCCAGCCCTTGCTACTTTTAGTTTTGTGGTTTATATTTTAAAGGGCCATTTTTTACTGTGTATAGCACTATGAAACCGTCTGCTGTTCATCAACCACCAATAGCTAAAAGAGGAAACAACACATGGAGCAGTTTGAAAAGACAGCACCACAGACTAAATACACTTTTCTCTTTAATCCTCATAGCTGCTCTGGGAGGCAGGGCTGCAGGATGGTGCAAAGACAGGTTTATATATGAATCTTGGCTCCCTTGTTTTCTAAGCCATATGACAATGGGGAAGTGACTTTTTTGTTTTGTTTTGTTTTGTTTTTTTGTACCAGGAATGGAACCCAGAGGCCCTTAGCCATTGATCCACATCCCCAGCATTTTTTTTTTTTTTTCCTTTTTAAAATTTTTGATACGGAGTCTTGCTGAGTTGCTGAGGCTGGCTTTGAACTTGAGATCCTCCTGCCTCAGCCTCCCGAGCCGCTGGGATTACACGTGTGCACCACTGTGTCATCCAGTATGACTTACTTTCTTAAATTCAATTTTATTTTCTATAAAAACAATCTCTTAACAATAGTTGCATTATAAAGTCATTCTTAGATTAAATTATCTGCAAAGTGCATAATAGTGCCTGCTGTATAGCAATATGAGCTAATGCTTAATGAGCACTGCATGCTAGACACTGTTCTGAACATGTATTATATGTACTGATTACCTGTATTTATTCTTAATAACAAGTCCACAGGACAGGTATTATTAACATGCCACTTACAGATGGAAAAACAGGCACACAGAGGTTAAGTAACTTGCCCAAGGTCACAGAGCCTAAAGTGATGGGGCCAGAATTCAAAGCCAGATAGTTTGGTATCAGAGTTCCTGCTTCTATCCATTATGTTACACTGACCATAAACTTCCAGTAAAGAAATCTTAGCAACAAATATTTTATTATGATCACTATGAAGCAGATTGAGAGGGTTAAGTGACTTTCAAATTTCACAAGTATATGTGGCAGAGCCTCTGCAGTGTGAGCCTTGGTTGTGTGGTTCCCAAACTCATGTTTGTTCTGTTTTATTCCTTTAAAGTAAAAGGCCCAGAGGTGCTTATCTAGTGATAATATTTATATGGAAGCATCTTGGCAGATTATTCAGAACCACTAGGACTTGGCATAGAAAAGATAACATGGTGACAAGTCATATTTGCCACAACAGGAACAAGGACCTCAGTGAAGTAGGAGCATCTGTATCAATTAGTGACAAAGGGAAGAGGAGAACATGAATGTGCATAGCAACTCTGTAATAGCCCCACGCTGGAAATGATGCAGCTCTTAAATGATTAAACAGTTTGTGGTATGTCCATACCATGGATTGCTCTCAGCAATTAAAGGAACACATTATTGGTACATGTAAGAACTTGGATGAATCTCAGGGGATTATGTAGAGTGAAAGAAAAATCTAATCACAAAAAGGTTACATACTGTACAATTCCCATTTATATAACTAACATGAAAAAATGATATAAATGGAGAATAGAGTAATAGTTTCCAGGGTTAGGGATGGGGTGGGAAAGGAAGACGATAGGTGTGGTTTTAAAAGGGCAACAGGAGGGATCTGGAGATGGAGTGTCTTTACTGTGATTGACACAAACCTATACATGGTAGTGTAAATTTAAATGCAGACACACAAGTACCCCACAAATGAGAACAAGGAAAACTAAGGAATCTGAGTAAGATCAGTGGATCATTATCAATGCCAGTATCTGGGTTGTGAAACTACTTTAGTTTTGTAAGATGTGACCTTTGGGGGAAATTGAGTAAAGAATACACAGATTATCTGTTTCTGTGTGGGAATCTACTATCATCTCAATAAATATTTTAACTTTAAAAAAAGGAGGAGAGCTTTGGGCCAAGGGAACCAAAGAATCAAGAAGTGTTACCCACTTTCTGGGAGAATTTAACAAAAACCCAGTGGTTCATGTCCTCATCACAGGGACTCTTGTAGAGGTGGCAGGTGGGCTCAATCTGCCTCTTACTAGGCAAGTGCTTTGGTAGCAGGTTTGTAAGTGGGATGAGATAGTGCAGGAGGGTTTTGAAGTTTTGTAATGGATTCCTATCATTTTTTATTGAAATCCACCAATTCAATAGAAAAGATGCTTGCAGAATTGTTCCTAATATCATTAAAGCCATATCCTGATTCAAACAGGCAATGAAAACTCTTCAGATTAAATAAGAGCTAAACAAAGGTTTTGACAGCAGCTACCCAGGACAGTTGGGTTCTAATGTAGTTTGGTCTTGGCTTAGCCTCTACCTCACAGGATTTATACTGAGGTACTTTATATGGAAGCATCTGGGTAGATTATTCTGAACCACTAGGACTTGGCATAGAAAAGACAGCATGGTCTTCACAATAACTCTACAAAGCCAAAACTATCTTCTATCTCCACTTGTGGTCTGCAGAGATTAAGGCATTAGCCTAAGGTCACATTAGCCTAAGGTGGTGGAGTGGATTCAACCCTAGTTCTGCTTATGTTTATGACCACCACATTAATTTCTTTTTATTTCTCAGTCATCAAAAAGAGGAGATTGGGCCAAGAGCTTTGGATTCTCCATGGCTTGAATGAATACTCAGTCAGTTAATTTTGACCTGAGTGAGGTACAGCAGGTAGTAAAGAAATAAGAATAGCTAATCTTGCCCTACAGGATATAGGATAAGATATAGGGCAGGTTGAGTGAGAGAAGCAGACATTACAGAGAGGGTAATGGAATAATTTGTCATTCTTGGAAGGGATGTGACCTACTTAGGACTTCCCAGTATATCTTAATTGTGAAAAATAAGCCCCTTCTCTCTAATAGAGATTAGGCTGTCTGAAGAGTCCTGTTGGATGAATGCATATTCTTAGCTTGTTTCTTTTGATTACCTAAAATACAGGCAGTGGGAAGATAAAACACCTATGTGCTGGCTCATTCAAATTCATATAGAGCTCACCTGAAAAAGAAATGGGTGCTGTTCAGAAACCACAGAAAGGAAAACCAGGATTCACTAAAGGTTGAAGGTGGAAGAGAGATGCCAAGACCCAAAGTCAGAGAGGAGAGAATGCAGAGTAGCAAAAACAAAACAAAGACTGTTGAAGTTTGTATCTTCTGCATCTCATAGTTGTTTGGGTTCAATGAGACTTTGGGAGGGAGGTTCTTGATTCTTTTATATCTTCAGGGTTTGTATGGACACTCAAATGGGATTGGGGTGAGGGACTATACCTACTTAGTGAGGGTAGACCCATCAGCCGTCAGAGACCACAGAAAATCTACAGTGGCTTGCAAGCCTCCCTTGCTCACTCATCCTAGGGAGG